TCGAAGGGCACCACCAAAACCTACAACCTCTTCCTCAGAAACTTCTTCTACTACTGTTGGTTTTACTTTCACTGCAGGAGCAGTTTCTTCTTCCACTGAAAATAAGAAGACTGAAGAAAAATCTAATCCTCCAACATTTGTACTTCCAACAACCAACACTTCCAAAAGAGAGGAAAGACCATCCCAAAAACCAGCCACAATCGAAACCCCAGTAATAGCACCTGACACAAACAAACAGACCCCACAATTGGATCTTTCTGCTTTCAAACAACCGGAACCTAAACCAATTGACAATGCTCAACCAACAGTAAAGCTAGGAACAGAAACCAAATCAACAGGTCCTACTGCTACGTTAAACATTCCAAGTGTTGGATCACATCAAGATAATGTAAATAAGGAAAATGAATCAGATTCCAATCCGTTTGCATCTATCATAATTCCTTCCAGTTCATCATCATCCACAGATAATCCACCTGCTACTGAGACAACCAATCCATTTGCAAATCTCAAAGTTGCAACTCCAACAGAACAGAAAAAGAATGTCTTTAATCCATTTGCTAATACAACCAGCTCAAGCATGTTTGGAACACCATCTTCAAGAAATACCTTCAACAAAACAACACCATCAAAACCTGCTGATTCAGTTTCAGATTTTGCAAAGATGGATCCCTCAATCTTCCAACGAGAAGCTCTTTCATTTGGATATCAAAAATAAACTTTCATTCGAAACCTTTCCAGTTAAGTTAACGACCTTCTAGCTGCGGAGGCAAATATTAATCTACAGATCTGAATGAACTGGAACTTTCTACTTTATGGTGTTGCCAAATCGGGTTATTGACAAACAGAATAGTTTGATTTTAATGCATTGCATATCCACAGTGTGAATTTGTTTGGCACACACATCCCTTTTCTCAAAAGAAGAAACAAAACAAAATGACAATTCTGTTGCTGCAACTTGCTGTAACTTTGATAATATTGGCTTTTGTGAAGGGAATTAGTATTCTCAAGCTTGTTTCCTTCTTGATCTGTTGGAATGTGACTGGTCTCAATATGCTCAAGTTCTCAAACACTGAGTGGGTCTTCTGTGTGCTTGTGTGTGCTTGCTTCACCGTGTTAAATTACAACTCTTTAAGTATTGGCATAT